AGACCTAAACACCAGGCCTTTACCAAGAGAAATATATTCTTTTCATTATTATGTTTTTTAATAAATATAATCTACAGTAATAAAAGAGAAACATGCAAATTGGTGTCACTCCACTACACCCACCAGCCAATAAGGGTGAGTATGCAAATTAACCCAAATAAGATGGTGGTTAATTTGCATATGCAGGCACAGAGCAAAGACTGAAAATGACTGAAGACTGAAGAGGCTTAGCTTCTCCGCTCCGCCTCACTGCTGTGGCTTGAGCGGAGAAGCCAAGCCTTGCTGCTGCGGACCAAGCGGAGAAGCCAAGCCTCGAGGCCAGACCAAAGGCCTGGGTCCTGGATGCCGGAGGAAAAACCGGTGCCAGCAGCCAGGGGAAGGAAGGCCTATTGCACGAATCTTCATGCAACGGGCTTCTAGTATTAAAATAAAACACTTTTAATAAGAATGTATCAGGCTCTTTCTCTGTCAAAGAGACAAATAAATTTATTCTCCCAGTTCTCTTTGAATATAAATGTAACATGCAAGACATTACCAGAAAAATAACTAGAACAGATAGAAAAACCTTGATACTAAAGAAGGGACAGGAGAGGTACACAGAATGATTTTATTTTAACACATCTACTTAGAAGCAAATATCCTCTCGTGCAATAAAAATCCATTTAAGCAACTGAAAAAGTGAAGGGGCAAGAGTGATTTTGTTCCCCCTTGGAAAGCATCTGATGATGTACATAGTGATGACAAAGGACATTCAATTAAAAAATTCAATGTCTGCCAGAATTCAGTGATTTTATTATTGCATTATAGTTTCTTAGAAGAATTGTTTTAAGTATAAGTGGTTATTTTCCCCCAAATGGCCTCTAGATATTTCATCTTGCAATGGAAATGCACCATTATCATGTAGTGTCATTATCTCAATTCAAACATGTTTTGTGTAAAATCTTTTCAATTGTTTTTGCTCTAAACAGAATCCTTTTGAAGTTATATTATAAGAACCTTCTGAATATTCTTAACATTTTATGCCATTTTTCAAGTGTTTTCTTCCATCTGAAGCTGGTCTTTCCTAACCACATATCGAAGCTTCAGAGGTAAGATTAAACCATTCCTAATGATAAATGACGTCCTAGTTATACATTCTGAAAGCAATACAAAACCTAAAAAACAAAACAAAAATACCCCATTTAATTATGAATTACAAAGAAATTTTTTGTATTTCCTCAATTTCCCTTGGCCTTACTTTTTCCCCTCTCCTTCTAAGTGACACCAAATAATTCCACTGAAAGACTGACTACACAAACAGATAATGGTCAGACCATGTGTGACAATAGAACTTTGGCCCAGAATCTCTGGAGAAATTATCTTCTGTCGACAAACTACAAGCTACAAACTCTGCAGCTATCTGCCCAGAATAATTAAAATTTGTTCAGCTCCCCTCCTCCCTTTTGTACTCAGAATCTAGCAAAGAAAGTTAAGTATGCCCTCCAACCAATCACCCAAGATGCCTACTTGTAGTTAGTATACTTCCAGTTTCCTCAGACCCCTGAGAAATTCCCCTTTTTCTGCTCTAAAGCTTTTCCACTCTCCTGCCTGCCCTTAAATCTCTGCCAGATGAAAGTGACGGTGGCTGGCTCCCTTGCAAGCCCTGAATAATAACTACTGTTTGTTCTCATTTGATTGGCCTTTATTTCCACACCACATATTTATAAGAAGAAACAGTATACAAATAGAATGATGATTATTTTTACTCTTTGATGTAATATTGGAGTGTCAGAAAGTATTACATTACACAATGTAGGGGAGTAAATTTGCCTGGTGTGATGTGCTTCCTTATAAGCTCAGACTTCAGTGCTGTCTTCTGCACTATCAGATCCTTTACCCCTGGATGCCCTGACCCACCACCCCAACCTAAGGACTGCCTAACTGCAGGGTTTCTCTGTACTCACTCTGTAGGTATGGAGCAACGCTAGAAAAAAAACTAGGCTAAGAGAATAGCTTTGCAGCAGACACTTGTGTAGCATTCCAGATGAAGTATTTCTTATGATTCACATAGTGTTCTGCATTCATTCAATAGTCAATAAATATTTCTTGAGGATGTAGTTTGTGCCAGACACTTTTCTAGGTCTTGAATATATAAGTAGTGGGTAAGAATACATTTTTTCCATTTAACAGGACATGTATTCTTGCTAGGAACACAGCCTTTTAAAAAGTGTACATGTAAATACATATATATTGTGGTAGGTATCAGAAAGGAATGGTATACGGTACTCTGAGAAACTCAAATTTAATAGAGACTTTGGGGATGCCTATCTAAGGAAATAATATTTAAGCAGCTACCCTAAGAATGAATAAGAATTAGTCAGGCAAAGGGGATAGAGATGTGTATTACAGACTGAGAAACTCTATTACCAAGTAATAGAAAACTTTAAATCTGTGAGAAAATGAAAAAAAAAAGTCAATGTAGCTGGAGCTTAGAAAACATCTAAGAGGACAGTGAGAGGTGAGAGGGAGAGATAGGAAATGCACTGTAAATGGAAGGGTTTGAATAGAGGAATGACATCAATTTGTTTTTAAAGATATTGGCTGGCTGCGGTGGTTTGAGAATGGATCACTAGGGGGATTAGGAGAGAGAGGCTTGTTGAGACTCTAATGGAGATGTCCAGGTATAAGGTCCCTTTACTTTTATTTCAGCAATGGATGTGGAGAGAAACGGATGGATTCTAAACATATTTTGAAAGTAGAATATATGCTGTGGTCTTTGAACTGAACAGAAGAATTCAAGCTTGGAAAACCACTTATCTGATCTTCCTTTTCCTTTTTTTAAAATTCTTTATTGTTTAAAGTATTATATATGTCTCTTTTACTGCCATTGACCTCTCCCCAGCCATTCCCACCCTCCAGCACATGCCCTGACCCCCCTACTGTCTGTGTCCAGTGGTTATGCTTATATGAATGCATACAGGTCCTTTGGTTGATCTCTTACCACCCCCTCCTTCCCTGCCTTCCCCCTGAGGTTGGATGGTCTGTTTGATTTTCCTTTTCTTACTATTAGTACTCAGTATGGGACTCTTAAAGAAAGACGTTGTTCTATTATGGTATACTGCCTGACACAGGCAGTTACCTACTGGTTTTTCCCCTTTATTTTCCCTCATCTGTTCCACAGAGGCACTTCCATGGCCCTGTGAGCTTCTTTGGATAGATGTGGCTGGTTGTGTAAATGGTATTGGTGACTCTTCTTGAACCATGGCTAACTGAGCTGGGTTCCACCCAAGGTCCCTGTTGAGACAGAGTGGAAAAGATTCACATTGATCTATTGGCACTATCTAAGTGGAAAGGTTGTATCCATAGGAAAATTTTAACCCCAAGTTCATCTCCCCGAACATGTCCATACTATCTGTCGGAAACACAATCTGTTTCTTCCTGCTTTATCTGTTCCACATTATAAACATCAAAAGCGTGAACTTTATTCCTATTAACTGTTTCTATCCAAAGGTTCATATTCCAGAAAATGATCCAAATGATAATATATCTTTTTGGTCACTTATTACTGCCCATTCCAAAATTATAGTTTTATGAGTCTATTTATTACTGGCAGGTCTCCTTCACTAGAGTATAACCTTCATTATGGCACAAAATAGATGTTCTCTGATGATTAAATGAAGTGTGCTGGTCAAAGATGACCAAGACAAAATGAGGAAAAGGCAGTAATATGAAAAGACATAATGTATAAAGCCAGAATTTCACACCTTTTCTTTCTTGATTTTCCTTGGCCCATATAGATAGTATTGGGAATAGTTAAAATTCTAGTCTGGGCCCTTAAAGAAGGTATTTCCAGGTATTGTTTTGTTTTTTAGAGATCATGAAAGTCTCACTTCAGCCTAAGAGGGAAGCCCTTTGCACTCTACTTTTTGAGATGATGAATTTGGCTCTGGAGAAGCTGGGCAGAAGGATGAAGTCCACACATGTGCAATGGAACTAGACTTGTAATTTAAGCCTCCTGAATCACCATGCAGTGACCCTTCAAAACTGAGAGCTCTATCTAGATAGGGACTCTGTCTTTTCATCTATTAATTGGTAACTATACTTTTCAGGAAAAAATAAAAGTAAAATCAACAAGACTTATTAGTCATCATGAGGCAAATATTGCTATTACCCAGGATGCAGTTAAAGACATTTTATTTTAGAGGTATTAAAAAAAATCTGTCTATAAATGGCAGAACAAGGATTTGAGCCCAATTTTTCTGAATCTAGTCCTTGATCTCTTAACCATTCTACTAAATTTTAAAAAAGAGTAATTTTTGTTACTTAACTATTTCTACTGATTCAAAGTCGAATTTGCCACAATGGCATCTCAAAAATATTTACCTTATTCTTAAGATCTGACTAAACTAAATCCCACCTCCGTCTTTTAGGTGATAACTTCATGTACTAATTTTTGAAGCTATTAAAAACATTTGATGTGAACTATTTCAATATCCTTTTTCTCTAACGTGCCTTCAACGTGTTCTCAATACCTTATCTGTCTTCCCAGGAGATTTGTGCCAATTTCTTTCTAATGTTAATTTATCCCACTTATTTCTTCTCCAGTATTTGATTTCTACCTTTATTATTGTCTCTTCTTACCTTTGTCATCTGGTTGCCTCATTACTTATTAAAATCTTAGTCCCAATGCACTACTATTCTTTGAATTAACACAATTACTGGGGGTTAAGTTAATGCCTTCTGCCACAACTCATCTCTCACTTCCCCTCTCAGAATAGTTTTAAATTCATGGTTCTATACTAAAATTATTCCAAACTACAATCTCTGCCCAAGCAATCCATGGGCCTCCAGGATACTCTCTCTTTAAACTCTCATGGTATATACCATTGCATTGCCAATATCTCCACATGGTGTAACTGTATGCCTCAAATCTAGCATTTTAGTTCTATTTCCCACTTGTACTGTATGTCTGTGTGTTTCATTTAATAACTTAAAGTAAATAAGCTGAATGCCTAACGTACCTTTTCCAGCCCTTCTTCCTTGAGGCTGATCACATCCAAATCAAAATCTGTTCGTAAGCCATTGGTTTTGTTGAAAGTTATCCTGCCTGTGAGACCTTCCCAATGTGCCTGTGGAAAGAGAAAAAAAAAAGATTAGTAAGTAAGTAAAGGAAGAGAAAACACTTTTCCAGGAAAAAAAGAGAAAACCTTTTCATCACATCTCATAAACTTACATTGCTATGGAATTTAAAAAGAGAAAACATTGTTTAGCAAAGTAAGAAGAATTTAGTCACTTTTTATCAAATAGGAAATAGTGAATCTATCACTGGAGATTATAAAAAGAATTACTGTTATAAAAAAGCACTCTTAAATTCATACTAATGTGAAAATAAATTTATTTTACCACATGAAAGAAACTGACACTAGGAAAACCTAGTTATAGGACTTCGATTATGCACTTCCCCCTTAGAGTAACTAACTTATTACTTTAGTTTTTCTTAAGTGATAAATGGGAAAATGTATGAAAATTACTTCAGATAAGTTAGAGTTCCTCCTGTAGGAGATCTCCATGCAGAAGGAAGTATATATAATAATTTACTTATGTATTCACCTCTCAATGGTAAATAAATATCTGGTCTTAAAAAAAAAATATATATATATATATATATATATATATATATATATATATATCCTATCTAATAATAGACAAACATGGTAATCGGCTGTACCTTCGCTACACCTCTCATTGGCTAATCAGCGAGATATGCAAATTAACCACCAACAAAGATGGCGGTTAATTTGCATACATAGGCATGAAGCAGTGGAGTGAAGATAGAAGGTGGCTCCGGCTGGAGCAGCAAAGGCTTGAAGGTGGCTCCGGCCAGAGCAAAGGTCTGGGTCCCAGGTGCCAGAGGAAAACTGGTGCTGGCAACTGGGGGAAAGGAAGGCCTATTGCACAAATCTTTTCGTGCAACAGGCTATATATATATATATATATATATATATATATATATATATATTTATATGAAGTTTTCCCATTCTGCTGGCTATTTTGTCCCAAATAGGTGTTTTCTATTATTTTTCATGTGAAAATAACTTGAAAAAAGTTATATATGAAAAATTTAAGTAATATAACATATACTCACAACTATAATGTTTGAAAGAATATACACCAAGATCCCAAAGAAATAAAACCCAGTAGATCATGGGGGAAATTTTAAATAATGACTACAAATGGATGTTATCATCACTATATTCCTTAGGCTTCATGTATTTCTTTGGTACTTATAGGTAGATATTCTAAAATAGTTTAAGATGATTAACTGTAAATAAAATAGGAAAAATCATAATACATGAATATATGCACATTGTAACATACCATCAGTAAGCTTAAACATGTATTAATTGGTCTCTAACAAGGAAGAAACATGTATTTTTAATACAACTTCTTCCAAATAAAATAATTTCAGGTAATTAACAAAAATGCAAATTAGTATAAAAATAGATGAGGTGATCAAGAAGTACAAGAATAAAAGTGTAGAGCAGCAAAACAAATGTGGGATACAGACAGCACGAGAAAATTTACATCAGGTAAAACTGTACATCTAATAACAATCAATCACAAATTCAATCTTGAACTTCCTAGCAACCAGAATAAAGAAAATAGGATGAAAAAAATATACAGGGTCCATGATTTAAGACATAGCAACTCCCCAGGAGAAGCACAGCTTTCCCTGGCACTGAGACCTGAGAAATGTTTCCTTTTGGAACTCAGAAAGGGGGCATTGTGTGATTTAGTGGACAAGGTCCTCACTAACACCCTACAATAAATACATTAGTGAGTTTCATACAACTGCTTTTTATAGGGATGTTTGGCACATGCCTCAATAATCAAGTGCTGCATTCAGAAAAAGCTATTCTTCAACTAGCCACAGCTGTGCACCAAGTTTGCAGCTCTCATACTCTTTTAAATCTGCAGTAAATGTAAAGGTGGAACAATAAATGAAAAGCATGTTCTGCAGGGAGTACCAGGTCACCTATCTAAGAGTCCTATAAGAATTACACAAGGAAAGTTTAAGGATATTCTTTTCCAAAGACCTGGAGATTTTTAATTATGATCCTATTTGCACTTTCACTTTCATAAGGAACAATTAATTATATGATGAACTGATGATTTCTTGTAAGCCATTAATGAAAAATTTTATATGATAAGAAAACCTGTGATTTTTCATAGCAAAGATTAAATAGTTAAACTTTCATATAAATATTCCTATTTTAATCAAATGAAAAGTATCCTAAGCTGACAAAGGAATTTCCTTCATAATAGGAAGAATAGACAAAAGGTGTGTGTGTGTCTGTGTGTTTGTATGATTTTTAAGAATATCCTTTTCTTTCTCAGTATGTACATAGTCTATTACTACAACAGATGTAGTAAGAAATAATATATGGCCTTAAGAATGGTTGCATTATGCAATATAAACTTTGCATTTTCATAAATATATATTATGTTTTATGTTAACTGTTAATTAAAATAACTAGATATATTGACTCATATAGAGCTAAATAATAGTTCTTTAAGATTTGCAATGTGGGTATAACTTAGTGTAGTGTAAATGGCATGCATGTTGAAGATTCATTACATCTTATTTTGCCTAAAACATAAACACACATTATTTAAACATTTATATCTCCCCATAAATGAAAAGTAACACATATAAAAATTCAAAAAGGTGAAACTAACAATGCCATACATCATAGGTCACAGATTTTTATCTGTTTACACAAATATAGATTATTTGAAGGATGTCCATTAATTTATCAAGTAATTTCCCACTTTTGTTTCATATCATTAAGTAAAACGTGTTAATTTTGCTTCTATGGTGAAGAGAGAAAGTTTAATTTAAAAAATAAAAGTAAAAGGTCACCTGTTAAGAAAACTGCAAAAATCTCAATGCATTCAGCTTGTAAACAAAATAGGCAGGGGAGATATGCACCTCCTGACATACCTCTTTAATTAGGCTCATGAAGCGGGTCCCGAAGCGCCAGGGTTTGTGTCGATTACACTGTAAGGAACTGACTGTCATCTGGGGGAACTGTTGGACACCCACAGACACCACGTGCACCGCATCATACATCAGAGCAGCGTCAGTCTGAAAGCCAAGAAAAAAAGGAAATATGGAGTCAATAACACAAGTGAAACCCATGGTGTTGCCTTGGAATTGAAGAAAAGGAGGGGATGAGAGCAAGAGATACCCAGAAAACAGTGCCTTCACATGCCCTGGTTATCTTAAATAAGATATTATGATCAAATTACTACATCAGCTCCATTAGAATATTTGACAACCATCTTTTTTCCTGAGGTGATAACCCAATTTCATGTTGTCCTAGTATATCTGTTAGAGACATGTATGAAGACATTCACTGCTTCATGTTTGTTACTACCTCTGTCTCCATCTTATTGTCTCACTACACACACACACACACACACACACACTGAATGCAATTGTTAACATTTGGAATGGCTACAAAGATTAGATATTGTACATAAAGATTAATAAGTAAACAATTTTCTTGTATAGGGAGAAAAAAGATATGGTAGGAGATTCACCTAAATTATAAAAATATAAACTCTGATCTCTTCTTCAATTCATTTTTCAAAAGGTCCAATCTCAGAAATGATGCTACAGTTTTGAATCTCAATACATGTATTAATCCCTTTTTAAGAAACTAAGCTTAATCCCCTCCACTGTTTTCTTTTCCCAAAATTTCCATATGAATGAAAGTTCATTTTGGCTTCTCAAGTAAAAGGAATATGAATTCTACTGTGTTTGCACCTGCTCCACTGGCTGACCACTTTAGAAGTTGATGATAAAAAATAAAATGTTTGTAAGTCATAACAAACCAGAGGCTCAGTGGCTGTCAATGCTGTGTGAAGTGGACCCTCACATTGAGTTTAATGGATCTAAGCCAGGCTCACTACCTACAGAAGAGGGCCATACTAACAGTGCTGGTAGCAATGAACTTTGGGCCATCTGCTTGGCATGCCTGGGAATAAAAGCACGTATTTCCTCTTCTCATTCACACAATTAGTGAGCTGTGAAATGATTTCCAAAATGAATAGGAACCCTGCAGATTATAGCGTTCTCCACAATACAATACAAAAATGAGTACACAGGGTACCTTTCATGCAAATGGATCCTAAGGAGCTCTACCACATAAAACAGAAGGCAGCTAAGGAGCACAATGCAACGACAGAACGTAATAATAATGCAATTTTATAGTTCATAAATCTCTGGGGAATAGAGCTCAGGTTCATAACCTTTATTCTATAGGTATCAGCTGACTGTTTTCACATACTTTGAGGACTGTATAGTGACAACTATACTAGTGGGATTGATAAACATGCATGGGGAGCCTGAGGTTTAGACTGATATTTGTCTTTGACCTGAGTTAACAATCAGAAGATATATTTAATATGCCACACAGGTGGTCATAAAAATAGTTACAAAATATAAAAGACACATTTGATGTCAAAATAAAATTAATTTTTAAAACATCACTGTTAAAAGGAATAGAAAAAAGAACTCTTCCAGACACTACTAAATGAAAGATAAAGGGCATTTTGCAATATGCACCACAATATAGCATTAAAAAAATCTATGTTCTTGAACTCATTAATTACTTTAAGAAAATCAAAGATAAGAATAAAGGCTACCTACATTATTCATTTTTAACAGATAAAAGTGGAAACCTTGCTGCATGTTCAAAATAAAACAGTAATGTCACAATGATATTTTATATAACCATTAAAAATCATGTTTTGAAAAATAATTAGATTGAAAATTAGATGTGATTTACTAAGTGTAAAAATAGATAATACACAACTATATTTCCATCACTAACCATTACATACATCTTTATAATACTTGCCATGGGTATTTATTTAATTTTCACAATAGGGACTAAATAAAAACATGACTGCTGTTCCATTTTACAAGTGACTAAACCAAGGTTGAGGGAAGTTAATTAATCAAAGTCACACAGCTAAGAAGTGGAGAGAGACCAGATTCAAATGGCCTCTCTGCTCTTGGCTGGCACTCTTAACTATCATATTGCACATTGTGCAACAACAACAACCAAAAAAAAAATCAAAGGGAAGAAAATACACTAAAATGATACCTATGATTAATCTTGGAATAAGTAAATACTAGAATTTTATTTTTTCTTAAAATTTTACAGTTATTTTTTAAAGATAAGAAGTTATAAAACAATACAATTATTGGCAGGATGGAAACGTTTATCTATTCCCACAAATTAATAAAAAGAACACAAACAATGATATTCCCATTATCCTGCCATGAGTTACTGACTTATTGCCTAATCTAAATTGATAATGGTAGGGAAAAAAAATTGCCTAATTCAGAGTTTGAAAATCATTTGTGGACATAGTTTCAGGGTCTAGATCAGAAGACACACTAGTTAATAATCTATTTGAGATCTGTGATTTTAAGTGTATTTATAAAAGAAATACAATATTTATTAATCTACAGGGGGACAAAAGTATGTTTATAGTTGTTCAATGGAAAATAACATAATAATTAATAAATAATAATACAAGAATAAACTGTTTCACATACACACAAATGTAAACCTACTTTTGCCAACCATTGTATAAGTTAAGTCCTAGAGAAAAAATTTAAATAGTGAAAAAGTTATTGATCAAATTACTTCTCAATTACCAGTTTAAAATATGTTGATTCATGATAAAGAACTATAACTTCTGAAACTGTTCTTTATGTATTTTCATCAGGTTAGGGTGCTTATTTTTTTCATCCTACTTTTAGACCAGTTTTTTATGTGACAATATGGGCTTACTTTCCATTTAAATTTGATATCCTGTCAGACTTACCTTTACTTTCTTCTTTGCAAAACTATACATATGCAAATTCTTCCATCTTTTTTAAAAGTTTTATTTTATTGTTTAAAGTATTGCATATAGTATAACATATGTCTCCTTTTTCCTCCGTTGACCTCCCTCAGGCCAACCACCCTCCCACAAGTCCTCACCCCCCCTTGTTTCTGCGTCCATTGGTTATGCTTATATGCATGCATACAAGTCCTTTGGTTGATCTCTTACCCCCACCCAGAATCCCTACCCTGCTTTCCCACTGAAGTTTGACAGTCTGTTTGATGCTTCTTTGCCTCTGTATCTATTTTTGTTCATCAGTTTATAATGTTCATTATATTCCACAAATGAGTGAGATCATGTGATATTTATCTTTCTCTGACTGGCTTATTTTGCTTAACATGAAAAGTTATAAGAAACTAGTGTTTTCTAAAATGTTTTCTTATTTTCACAATAATGCGTATGCTTGAAAATTTATATTAGTAATATTATTAGTTAACATTGTTTATTATTTACTATGTGTGAGGCATTCTCCTTAAATCATTTCCTTTACTTCTCATAACCACTGTACAGTTGGAATTCCACTGAATTTGTATCTGATAGGAAATCGAGGCAGAGAACACTTAAGTAACTGGCCTAAGATCATATCATATAGGGGAATCTGGATTTGAATCCAGTCTATCCAGAGTTCACATCCTTCCTCTAGATCAGTGGTTCTCAACCTTCGTAATGCCGCAACCGTTTAATACAGTTCCTCATGTTGTGGTGACCCCAATTTCATTGTTACAAATTGAACATAATTAAAGCATAGTGATTAATCACAAAAACAATATGTAATTATATATGTATTTTCCAATGGTCTTAGGCGACCCCTGTGAAAGGGTTGCAACCCACAGGTTGAGAACCGCTGCTCTAGATATTTGCTCAGTGCTCTACATTTAATAAAGCAAAATAATACAAATGATTTTTGAAGTTACAAAATTTAAGAAATATTAATAAGAACTTGAAAGCACTAGTATGTATAATTTTTGATAAGCAATAAATATTCACATCATAAACATATACTGCAAAGTAAGGAAAGGTACAGACTGTGGAGAATTGATAAATATAAATTCACACACACACACACACACACACACACACACAATACATTAATGTCTGGTATTGGGACAATAATAGGTTAGTTAGGAAGTTAGTAATGTTAACCAGGAACAAATTCATGAAAGAAATAGATTTCCTCTATACGGTTGCTGTTCAGAAGATTTTCCAAAGGCAGAGTATCTTTCAGGATCAGGCTTAAAGGGCCTCTCTTACTCTCAGCTCTAAAGGATAGAGATTAATTGAGCTGCTCTAGCTAAATCTTTCACCCTCTTATATTGACTCTATAATCCCTGTCTGACTCTTCTCTCAATGGAAAATAGAAAAAAAGAAGAAAGGGGTGCCCTGACTGGTTTGGCTCAGTGGATAGAGCGTCAGCCTGCAGACTGAAGGGTCCCAGGTTCGATTCCAGTCAAGGGCATGTACCTTGGTTGAGGGCACATCCCCAGTAAAGGGGTGTGCAAGAGGCAGCTGATCGATGTTTCTCTCTCATCGATGTTTCTAACTCTCTATCCCTCTCCCTTCCTCTCTGTAAAACATCAATAAAAATATATTTTTAAAAAAAGGAAGAAGAGAGGGGTAAAACAGAATAGGAGAAAAGAAGAGGAGACATACAGGTTAATTACTTTGTCATCATTTTTATATTACCACTAGAGGCCCGGTGCACAAAAATTTATGCACTCGGGGGGGGGGGGGGGAGGTCCCTCAGCCTGGCCTATGCCTTCTTGCAGTCTGGAGCACCTTGGAGGATGTCCACCTGCTGGCTAAGGCCCACTCCCTGGGGGATCGGGCCCAAGCTGGCAGTCAGACATCCCTCTGGAAGCCTGGCAGCCCTCGGGGGATGTCCACTTGCCAGCGGGGAACAGGCCTAAGCTGCAGTCGGACATCCTTAGTGCTGCTGAGGAGGCGGGAGAGGCTCCCACCATCACCGCTGTGCTCGCAGCCATCAGCCTGGCTTGGAGCTGAGCAGAGCTCCCCCTGTGGAAGTGCACCGACCACCAGGGGACAGCTCCTGCATTGACCATCTGCCCCCTGGTGGTCAGTGTGTGTCATAGTGACCAGTCATTCCCAGTTGTTCTGCTGTTAGGGTCAATTTGCATATTACCCTTTTATTATATAAGATTAAGTTACTGCATGCTTCCTCAA